AAAAAGAGATGATTTTCTTTTGTAAATATTTTTGTTAAAAAACTAATGAAAGAAATTATTTAAGTTAAAGATTAATGATAGAATTGTATAAAAATAGAAAAAAGAAATCTTTGATTTTATTTTAAAAGTCTGATGTAAAAGATGTTGCTTTGTTATTTAAAATCTTGAAGTTTATTTTTATATTCATATTTCATGTCGTTTTTGTTTTAATCAAAAAAAAACCTTTTGATAATGAAGAATGACTCAGTGATTAGCGAAGATTTTGAGAACATTTTGAAAAATAAATTTGACATCTTTGTAATGAAATTTCAATGGACTTTTATTTTCAAACTTACATTAAAGAAATATTGATTGAACTTTCAGTTTTATATCATTTGTTTTTAAAAGAAAGGCGACTATTAGATGCTGATCCAAGAATGGGAGAGAGGTGGGTTTGTCACCTTAGCCGCGATTTCGAAAACAAACTACAGTGGAGCTCAGTTGATATTCCCCCCTATGTGTTTTTTACTTTACACTATTACAGTTTGTTTGTTTTTTCAATAACGGATATATAGCGAGAAAGTACAGACTTCATTGTATCGCATGATCTATTAATCATAAATAACAAATAGAAATCAAATAACAAAACATATATCCGAAACAAGATGATTTTGTTTTTCTTCTGACAACCTTTGACTTTAAAACATTTGGCCAACGATTTAGAGCTAGTGCCATGAACTCCAGAAGGATATTCCTGCAGTGCGCTGTGCTATAGATAATAATGTATTTGTAACCGTGTATTTGTCAATTACAAGGAATGTTGTGGTAGTGACCTACGTCAGATTTCCACGAAATCGTTTCACTCATTCCAGTTGTATAGACAAAAAAGTTTTTATAGTGGCTTTTTTTCTCATGTGATCAATCTGCAAACACACAACTAATGCGTGATAATTTGTTTACAAAGCATAGAGATGAATGTAAAACTTTCTATAGCTTAATATATTGAGAATAGCAGACAATACAACTTTTATACTGTTTTTTTTCCAAGGAGGAAAAATCTAAGTGTTTGCACTTATGACTAAAGGTTTTGGTGTTTTTTTGCATGCTGATTCTGAATATCACGTTCATTTTCCATAAAAATCAACCTTCGATTATCAAACTCTCAAAATACTACTCATCTTTTTGATATTTTCTATGAAAATGGCTCGTTCCTAGAAAGTGTCAGCAGTAAACGACCACTTTGCCCCACTTTTATTTTAATCGAAACTAGTGCATTTTGTAGAAGGAGTGACAGCGCAGCTTCTGAGAAAGTTTCAGCCTTGTTCATTGCGGTATTGAAGAGAAAGAGGTATTGTACTGGAACCATGTCTGAGGATTTATATAAAAAATTGATTCAATCGAGCCGGAAAATCCTATATCTCTTTCCTATATCACCTAAAATCTCAAGGGCACAATGTATGGCTATATAGACCAAAATGTACGTATGACCACAAATAAGAGTGACTTCAAGAAATTTTTTCTACTCAAGTCGAAGACAAAAGAATACGCTGAAGCATGTAAAAACATGTAAGTTACCATAAGCAACTTCAGAAACTTTTAATAATTCTCTTCGAAAACTTTGAAAAGTGAATTGTTTTTATAACGACTATTTAAAGAAGAGATGTTAGGCGATACATTTGTATGTTTGTCTTAAAGATCATTTTGTTTTAGGCAAAAATCAACTTTTCAAAACAGAATGTGATGTTAAATCGTTGAAATAAATATAATTTAGAAATCCGAACATTTTCTCTTTGTATTTATTACTAAATTCATTGCCTTTGAAAAAACAAATTCGTTCCCCACTCATTCTTCATTTGATAAAATTCAATTCGATCTTTTAATTTATTTTTCATCAGAAAATAAACAAACAAGTAAGTGTCAATATTCATATCTTAAACAATTTTATTACTACAATATCAGTATCAACATTTTATATCAATAACAAGAATAATCGTTAAGATTTACTTCAAGAACGATTTTCAAAGACCTTTTCCTTCTATATGCGAAACTCTTGTATTCTAAAGTAATTAAACAATCAATTGTTTTTGTTTTGCTTTTTATTTTTAGTTTTCTCATTCAATCAACCAAAATTTTGTCCAACAGCAGCTTGGAATCCATTCGGAATTACTTTTGCTAATCAAACAACAATTGGAGAAAAACCTCGCGCCATTTTCATCAATACGAACAATACAATTTATGTTTATGCAAACAGACAAATTTTAGTGTCGCATGAGGGTCATATCAATTCAACAAAGATCATTCCTATTAACTCTTCGACTTCACATTCTATTTTCGTTACAACGAATGGTGATATTTATATTGATAATGATGAAGTTGTTCTTAAATGGATATCAAATAAAAACACATTTGACACTGCTATGAAGGGTATATCACAATGTTATGGTTTGTTTGTCGATATCAACGATACTCTGCACTGTTCAATGCGTAACCTTCACCAAGTTGTGAAAAGATGGATGAGTGATTCTGTTCTGACACCGACTATCGTAGCTGGGACAAATAGATCAGGATCTGCTCTGAATGAGCTGGATACTCCTCACGGAATCTTTGTTGATGTGAACTTTGATTTATATGTGGCAGATTGTGGAAATGATCGAGTTCAATTGTTTCAATTAGGACAATCAATTGGTATCACAGTAGCTGGAAATGGATCACCAAATCCCACAATTTTACTTTCATGTCCAACTGGAATTGTATTAGATGCCCAGAAATATTTATTCATTGTGGATTCTTGGAATGATCGTATTGTTGGATCAGGACCAAATGGCTTTCGATGTTTAGTTGGATGTCATGGACTTGATTCACAATCCCATCAATTGTCGTTCCCGTTCAGTCTTAGTTTCGATCGTTCGGGTAACATGTTTGTAACTGATATGAACAATGATCGAATTCAAAAATATTTGTTGAAAAAGTCTTGTGGTAAGTTGAAAATAGTTGAATAAGATGATGAATAAGATAAAGTTTTGTTTGAGAAAAGTAAATTTTAAAGAAAAGAACAAATTCTTGATTAGATTTCTGTTTGGATGAATTGTTTGATAAATAAATAAGATAAAAAGTCTTGAATATGAAATAATTGAATAAAAGAAAATAACTAAACATGTGAAGATTGAATGAGCAATGAAATATTTCGATTGATCATAAATATTTTGAAAGAAGATTATTTGAAAGTTTCAGTACCTTTGTAGTACTTTTGCAACAGTAAAATTGATTCGTGGTGAGGAAGATCTTTTGATATAATTAATTTATAAGAATCGACAAAACCATCTAAAAGATTTTATATTGTGATCAATCTATAAATATTTTGTGATTTTCTAATTTCAATTCAGTTGTAGAGAATTATGACACTGTAGAGTTGACAATGAGTCGAGCAAGAACTGAGTTATTTATGTGAATTTTATCCAAATAGAATACTTTTTTATTCGAATTTAGTAATGTTTCAGGGTGGCGATATGAAAATCTGGTTGAGAGGTAAGTTTGGTTCTGAACGTGTCCAGTGAAGATGGAATTAATCGAACCTATCAATAGAGGAGGAGATTCTTCCTCAACAATTTGATTAACTTGGCCATTCTTCCTTAACCAAGGAGATTTTCGTAAGCTCTTTTCGGCATTAACGTAAGGATAAAACAGTGTGTCGTTTGCGTCGATCAGAGAGTTTTTTGAGGGATCCTCTACCATATGGTTCATATTATGTCCTGTTTTCTCTTTTCGAAATCAAGTTTTGACCATCAACATGAAGAATAATAAACAAAATAAAAGATGAATTTGAGTGATTTCGCAATGACTCTGAGTGATTTTGATGATTGGAAACGATCTGAGGTGCTCTGCTATTCAGAATCAGTTGTTTCTTCCTTGAGTACAGATTATCGGTTGAATACGTTGAGAAAGTGTATCCGAAAGAAAACGAATGAATATCCCGAAATACTTGAATGCATGTGTACATACAAGAAAACCCGATTGGTTTTGTTTTTCGTTTAGGCTATCCTTCATCACTGTTTCAAACGATATATTCATCATCATTGACTATGAACAGTCAAATATATTTCAGAGATTGCAGTGAATCAGGCTTTTATTATGAATCTATTCAAGTAAATGTAACTGAGAATGGTTATTATACTTTTCGTAGCTATAGCACGAGTGATACCTATGGATATATTTACAAAAACAAATTTAATCCATTTAATTCATCTGAGAATTTGCTCAAAGAAGATGATGACAGTGGTTCTGATAATCAGTTTAGACTTGATATTCTTCTTGATGTCGACATTACATATGTATTGGTTGTAACAACATACACTTTAAGAACGGTCGAAACATTCTGGATTGTTGTATTGGGTACAAACAATGTCACTTTCAAGCGTCTTAGTGAGTATATATTTATATATATTATTTAGTGAATAATCAGTACAGAACATAGAATATATGTATTCATTGAATTGCTGCTGTCATTTTAATAGACGGTTAAAAGTGTCACTATTATTCAACTAATAGTCATTGTTATAACTTGTCTAATGTCTCAAATGAAGTTGATCGAATCTTTTTATATAATTTCTGGTTGATTTTTCTTTTGAGAATGCCCTGAACAAATATTCTTATACAAAGAAAAATAAGACTTAAATCTTATCGTTGAACAGGGCTTTATTAAAATTCTAGAATTTGCAATCTTTCATTGAGATTTTGTTAAATGAAATATAAAAGGCAGATGAGAAGTCGAATGTCATTAGTTTTTACAGATTGGCACTCTCAATTATTTTATTAGGTATATAATATGGTTATGATTTCGTGTCATAATTGATCAGTTATCTATAGGAATATCGAATAAACTTACATACATACATTTTTACATACATTTTTGTCAGATATAAGACACGAATATTGATGAGATCGATTGAGACAAATTCTTTTCTTCTGGTCATCGTTGGAAAATCGTTAAATGATTTCTTTGTTTTTGATATGTAGAATATTGCGTAATTCTCACTGGTTAAGTTTCTCCTTGACAAAGCTTTAGTAGAGATAAGAAATTGTTTTTCTTTCTAAAACATCAATAAGAGAAATCACTCGTCGGCAGTACCATATGAAGTTGTGGGAAGGATAATAGGGAAAGGAAAGATATAAATAAGAGAAGGAAGCAATAGATATCTTTCTCGGAACTGGAACCACGAATCTTCTTCTATCTGGGCAGATGTCCTATGGCAATTAGAGTGAAAGGGACATTTTCAACTCTGTTTGTTATATTATCAGCAATGTTAATAGTCATAAGCATTCTAAAAGTATATAATGTGAAGATACAAAATCCAGAAAAATTAGTTTTATATTTCAAAAGAATCTGTTAATCGCTTTTTTTAGTATAGAAACTGAAGATTAAACATTGATTAACTTCAATGTAAATTTTATGAGTTTTCGAATCGAACGAAGTGCTAAGCGATCGGCTGCTGGCAAATGGTCATAACCAATGGGAAACCGATGTGAAATACGGTGCTTGTCGTAGAACCTGTGTATACTTGTTACAAAATATTGCAGAGATCTCGCCAACATCTCATTTTGTATGGAAATGTTTCCTCTACATTTGTGATGTCTCAGAAAACTTTTGTGTATCCAGATTTTGGACATGTGCAACAAGTTTTAGAAAAGTAACAAAATAATGAACCTATACCTATCTCCAGTCTCAATCGATATCATCAATATTCGTGTCTTATATCTACAGATTCTATATCAACTGAAATCTCAACACAATTTTTAAAATAATTAAAATCTTCCACTTTTATTTAGTAAAGATAAAAGTGATAAAAATGTATTCCTTTGATGTTATAGTCATTTTGAATTCTCTTTCGAATGGCATGTAAATAATCAAAAATTAAAATTTGCCGGCGGATAGTATTTTCCGTGCTGTGGCGGAGGCTCTCTCAATAGTCTGATGAGAATCTCAGAATTGTAGGAGTTCTGAGTCCATCAATTCCTTTCTGTTTTTCACTTTCTAACTTCTTCTGATTCGCAGAGATAAGTTTTTAAAATACGTAAAATTAATTATTTGAGGATTGAGGATGAATATACATAGAAAATTAAGACATGAAACGCATGAGGAAAAGTTTCAATGCGATAGCATATACTTTCTCCAAATATGAACTTGTGAGAAAATCTCGTATAGTTTTCGTTGTATATTGAGATAAAAAAAATGACTGCAATGTTTTTCCAATTAGTTTTGTTCAACTGCGTGAAATACTCGTATCTGTGGCCTGTATAAAGATGAAGACATTGACAGAATATATCAGATAGTCTCAGTCGTGACTTTTCTCGATTAAGTGTTATTACTTTCTTTTGTGTTTCTATTAATAACAATCGGAATGTGATATCTAAAGTTCATTTACCATACATTCAGTTTCGAGACATGTATTTGAAAATCTTTGAATTTATATTTACATGTTGAACTTTTATAGTGCTTTTATTCTGTTATTAAATAGGTGCCCTAGGAAATATTCGATTCAAATATTCATCGGAGTTGACTATTAATAGTCCAATGTATTATCGAGATTGTGAAATACCAAAATGTTACTATGAAACTTTAGAAATAAATGTATTTACAACGGGTTCATATGTTCTTTGGAGTAAGAGCAGTGATATACACAATACATATGGCTATATCTACAAAGATGATTTCAATCCACTCGAACCATTTGAAAATTTACTCTTAGAACATAATGGCAAATGCAACGAAGGACAGTTTAAACTCATCATTGATCTCCAGATCAAGACTAGATATGTATTAGTTGTGACAACGTATCGTCCAATGACAATAGGAAACTTCTCTATTTTCGTATCTGGACCAGACAACGTCAGTCTTAATTCCTTTAGTAAGTGTTTGAACCGTTTTATGAATAAAAAAGATAAATTTATAGAACATGAAAAATCTTCCTAAATACCCTTACGATTTTACATTCCTATTGTCACTCTACTTTATATTTACAAATGTTCTTCCATTAGTATGGTATATACAGTAACTTAAAACCAGAAAACAGATAATACTGATTGCAAAGAGTGAACTTTGTTTATACCCATCATACAATAAAGACATAAAGGAAAACTAATTATTCAAATCAAATCATAACAGTTGAAGAGGTCCGAATATACCTTCGTTGTACATCCAAAATCAGTTTCCTCTCTTTTGTTAGTCATTTTCAAAAATTGTTTCTTGTGATGGATTGTTATTAGATTATGAGAAACAATCTACTAAGCTGCTTGATTCGATAGTCTAAATTCTCTTAATTCAAATAGAATAGTTTAGTACTTCTTTTCTTAACAATCAATAAGTTAATAGTTCATTCGAGAAGACCCTTTTTTAGTTGCAACTGTAAATAAATGTTTGATATGTTGTACATGGCTGTGGACAGTCTTTCAAATCTTTACCAAGACTCAATTTCCAGAGCATTAGCTCTCATAGACGGAGAGTGTGGGCTAAGCGGCTTCACTAATCGTATGTGACAGAATGAACAAAAAGAGGATGAGTGATAGTGAATACCCTAGACAAAATTTTTTTGCTAAAACTGATAGGATTCTTATAAGAATCTTATCAGTTTCTTATATAAGATTGTTTAAGATTTTCCATTGACAGTCGTAAGTGTCTTATAAGAATCTTATAAGATTTTCATGAGAGGCTCATCAGAAAAACATAAGAAGGACCAAAAATTCTTACGTTATTAATATCTACTAGCAGGCATCTTATGAGTCGGCTTTTACGATTTCTGTAATGATTAAGTTACTTCTACTTGCTCTCAAATCTTTTGGGCTAGTAAGTGGCCGTAACGGTCATTTATTCTGATGACTTGTGAGTCGTATTCGCAGAACTGTTATTTTTAAAAATATAAAACTTTTACTAGTATGTATTAACTAGTTAATCTGGCAATATTTTACGCGTAACTTACATTCCTATCTAAAATAACTTGATATAATAACATAAACAGAGTAAGCACTTATAGTCTAATGGTTAAGGCTCTGTCTACACTACAAAAGTTAAAGGAGCTTTAAGTAATTCTATTGGCTAAAAGTTAGTTTAAGCCAATAGAATTGCTTAAAGCTCCGTTAACTTTTGTAATGTAGACGAGGCCTAAGATCGGGCAGCTGAATCGAAGATTACGAGTTCGATCCTCGTTAAGTGCGGTTTATCTTTTTATGAACCTCGTATGAAAATCTTATCTGATTCTTATAAGACACTTACGGCTGTCGACGGAAAATCTTAAACAATCTTATATAAGAACCTGATAAGATTCTTATAAGAATCTTATAAGATACTGATAAGAGACTTATAGGTTTCTGGTAAGATTCTTATATAAGAATCGATCTCTAGGGTATGAACGTCGTTATGCTCTGATCTAAGTGATTCTGATTTATCCAATGGGAAAGAGGCATGAATCGTCGGACTGTAAACTTAATCTAACAAGGGAAGTACCTCAACTGATAAATCGCTTGTGGACTACCTATAGTCCACTCGGTTTCGATTTAAAAAAAAGCGATTTATCAGTTGGGGTACTTCCCTCGTACGTTAGATATATATGTATATACATCTATTCTCGTGTATAATGCTTTTTTAAGCCTCATTATGATACAAGTTAGTGTCGGAAGCTCGTAAGTTAAAGAGATGAAAAATTTCATATACACTGTCTACTTGATTTTTCGGCTTATTAAAAACTCTATTCATTGCTAGCGTGGGCGTAGGCTAAGCGGCTTCACTAATCGTATGTGACAGAATGAACAAAAAGAGGATGAGTGAAGGTGAATATGAACGTGAGAGTACATTATTTTTTTCGCATCTACGCAGATCCTCATTCACACCTATCTTCGAGATTGTGAACAGTTTTCTTTTGTCTGAAGGTTCTTGATAATGTAGTAATTGCCGAGGAATTGTACTAATTGATAGAAATTCATTCTTTGCAACATTTAGCAAAGGGAGTGTTCCTTATTTGATCATTCAATTCTTACACAATCGACATGTGTTTCGTATATAAAAACAAATATATGTCTGCAGAAATGACAAATATGGGAAAAACTTGCGAAATACTAAATGAATAGAAAACCCACATCTACTATTTTTGCTCTATTCTACATAAAACGTCCTTCAGGTCCAAAATTCAATTCACTGAATATAGTTTAGACCTCCACTCGAACTGTACTCTTTATATTCAATGAAGGTTTTTAAATCCCGCCTGATAGTCGCTTTGGAATACTCTCCCCGTAGAGTGGAACTCGGACCGATCCGTCCTATTTTGCTGTACGCTTTGAGTGTTTTGTTTTACCTGATTATAAGTTTTTTCTGATGTACTTTTAACTTTTCACAACGACGTTTTTAACAAAATTGAGATATTCAAAGTATCCTTAATCATACATCTTTTTAATTCTGGCAAAAACTGAATTTTACTGAGATTTAGATGAATACTCTAAAACTTTTAAAATAACTCAGCTTTCTTGTCATTCTTTTTCTGTAAGTGAAATTGCATGAATCAGTTGAGCAGGTTGATAGATAGTACAATTGTTTCACTTTAGTGTAAAAATCTTGAAATTTTGTTGAATATTTTAGGTCCAAGAGAGAGCAGTTGTGTTATTGGTGATCAATGTAATTTTCACGTTAAAGGTGTTGGTTTGACTCTCGATGATATTTTGCGCGATCAACTCCGACCAAACACGACACTGAACAATCAATCTTTCTCAGTTAAAATAAGCGCGGGTTTGACAATAATAATGTTGGTTGCTAGCCTAATCAACAGTATTCTTTCTTTTATAACGTTTAAAAGTAAAAACTCACAACAAGTCGGATGTGGAATGTATCTTCTAGCATCATCCATCACTTCTCTTCTTACACTCAGTATGTTCACAGTGAAATTCTGGTTTGTCGTTCTTACTCAAATCAATGTATCGACTAGCGTATCTCTTCTTCGTGCAGGTTGTATATCTATCGAACCCGTTCTCAAACTTTTCCTATACTTGGATGGTTGGCTTAATGCTTGCGTGGCTGTTGAACGAGCGATTCATGTTTTCAAAGGAATCAATTTCGACAAAGAGAAAAGCAAACGCATAGCTCGGTGGATAGTTCTAGTATTACCATTCTGCATCATGAGTACTCTTATTCACGAGTTCGTGCATCGCAAACTGTTTGAATATCAAACAGAGATAGACAAGGTACATGGAAACAAAATCGAAGAAAACCGGATATATGAAAGCAAGACCAATGAAGGTACGACAAAGCGATATGCATGGTGTATGACCAGTTATTCTTCTTTTGTCCAAAACTACAATACAACAATTTTATTTTTCCATATCATCGTTCCATTTATTGCCAATTTGTTCTCTGCTTCGTTCATCATCCTTGGAGCTGCTCGACAACGATTAGTTGTTCGAACTGGCCGTAGCTTCAGAACACATGTTCATGAACAGTTAAGTGAGCATAAACAATTAATAATCAGTCCTATAATTGTGCTCATTTTGTCGTTACCTCGTCTTATTATCTCATTATTGCCTGGATGTGTGAAAACGTGTGACAATTTGTGGCTGTATCTCAGTGCTTATCTTGTTTCGTTTATTCCATCGATGCTTATCTTTCTTATATTTGTCTTTCCTTCGGATTTATATATGAAAACATTTACAAAGTCGATCATCAGATGGCAACGACGACGAACTCATCATTAGTCAATTTCTTCATTTTGAATGACTTAATATCGGTAGTTATTCTGGACTTGTGAAACACAACAGTCACTAAGAAAGAGTCAAAGGAAAAATGTTAAACGTATCAGTTTTATACCAATTATACTGCATATCGATTCTTATATAATATTGATAGAAAAGTTATGCATATTGTTATGTTATACTTTTTTCTGACACTTTTGTAAATAAAGATCTGTAAATCTATCTTAGTCACTTTGCTTGCAAAATGAAAAATGTAGAAGATGTGAAATCATGATCTTGCTAGCAATCTTTTTTTTATTGAGAAGCTTCATTTGATAAAGTTTTGACGGTTTATCAAGCAAATTAAGTTTTCAACAAGCTCTATAGTTTGCTTTATGCACTAGTCCATTGTAAGAAAACAGTGTGAAAAACTAGCTGAAAGAATCACAAATTTCGAATAAGAGTCTTTTATTAAGGACACTAATATTGTTACTCTAAACTTTTATTAGAGAAACCAGAGGGTCACGCCATCGAATGATTAACTACCAATTAATGGTACAAGGTAACGAATGCACAAAATAGTTACAACATGGTTGGATTCAAAAGAACAAAATATAAAGAAGCTAAAAAAAGAGAAGCTTAACCATGACAAACCACATGTTAAGAGAAGGTGTGATTGAAACTGTTCTTCTACTCAAAGTGCCAGAAGAAAGGTACGGAAGATAATATCAGCTTTGGGTTCGGTATTAAGTGAAAGTATGAACGATAGTACTGACATTATCCAAATTTGTTTGCTGATCAATAAGAAGATTAACGTCCGTATTAAGTATCAATCCCGATGTAAAGGTTTCTGCGTCACCATGTCTTGCAGTTGTTTTATTTTAATATTCTGATATTCAAATGTTGAATCCACTGTCTCATTCCATTCCCTAGTTGTGACTATGAAAGAATCCTGGTTGTTTACGCTCGTCACTTCCAGTCGACTAGTACGTTGCTCCTTAAGTTGTGGTAAATATTTTGTGCAAATTAATCAAATTCTTGAGAAAGGATCTCCTCCTCTATTGATAGGTTCGATTAATTCCATCTTCACTGGACACGTTCAGAACCAAACTTACCTTTCAACCAGATTTTCACATCGCCACCCTGAAACATTACTAAATTCGAATAAAAAAGTATTCTATTTGGATAAAATTCACATAAATAACTCAGTTCTTGCTCGATTCATTGTCAACTCTACAGTGTCATAATTCTCTACAACTGAATTGAAATTAGAAAATCACAAAATATTTATAGATTGATCACAATATAAAATCTTTTAGATGGTTTTGTCGATTCTTATAAATTAATTATATCAAAAGATCTTCCTCACCACGAATCAATTTTACTGTTGCAAAAGTACTACAAAGGTACTGAAACTTTCAAATAATCTTCTTTCAAAATATTTATGATCAATCGAAATATTTCATTGCTCATTCAATCTTCACATGTTTAGTTATTTTCTTTTATTCAATTATTTCATATTCAAGACTTTTTATCTTATTTATTTATCAAACAATTCATCCAAACAGAAATCTAATCAAGAATTTGTTCTTTTCTTTAAAATTTACTTTTCTCAAACAAAACTTTATTTTATTCATCATCTTATTCAACTATTTTCAACTTACCACAAGACTTTTTCAACAAATATTTTTGAATTCGATCATTGTTCATATCAGTTACAAACATGTTACCCGAACGATCGAAACTAAGACTGAGCGGGAACAACAATTGATGGGATTGTGAACCACGTCCATGACATCCAACTAAACATCGAAAACCATTTGGTCCTGATCCAACAATACGACGATTCCAAGAATCCAGAATGAATAAATATTTCTGAGCATCTAATACAATTCCAGTTGGACATGAAAGTGAAATTGTGGGATTTGGTGATCCATTTCCAGCTACTGTGATGCCAATTGATTGTCCTAATTGAAACAATTGAACTCGATCATTTCGACAATCTGCCACATATAAATCAACGTTCACATCAATAAAGATTCCATGAGGAGTATTAAGCTCATTCGGAGCAGATCCTGATCTATTTGTCCCAGCTACGATAGTCGGTGTCAGAACAGAATCACTCATCCATCTTTTCACAACTTGGTGAAGGTTACGCATTGAACAGTGCAGAGTATCGTTGATATCGACAAACAAACCATAACATTGTGATATACCCTTCATAGCAGTGTCAAATGTGTTTTTATTTGATATCCATTTAAGAACAACTTCATCATTATCAATATAAATATCACCATTCGTTGTAACCAAAATAGAATGTGAAGTCGAAGAGTTGATGGGAATGATCTTTGTTGGATTGATATGACCCTCATGCGACACTAAAATTTGTCTGTTTGCATAAACATAAATTGTATTGTTCGTATTGATGAAAATGGCGCGAGGTTTTTCTCCAATTGTTGTTTGATTAGCAAAAGTAATTCCGAATGGATTCCAAGCTACTGTTGGACAAAATTTTGGTTGGTTGAATGAGAAAACTAAAAATAAAAATGAATATTGACACGCCTCGTTATTTCTTTATTTTACTGATGCATAACAACCCAAACTCTGTAACTCATACACATTTTATTGACATCGGATTTATGGTTGTTTACATTTGGATTCTCATTTGTTTTATTCACTGACCGGCAAAAAGCACACTCTCACCGATTGAGTTATGTCTTATTGGTTAAAATTTGTGTCAAAGTTCTCTTTTCCAGATAATGTATCTCTTACTGAGCCGTGGACTATTTACTCGAATTTTGAGGCAATTCATAATTCATGCCTCGAGAATTCTCGTTTGCGCAAAACTTGTAAACACGTTAGACTTTTATCCGATAGATTTATTCATGTGTTCGCATCTTTTTCAATTTTTGAAAGACCTACCGTTTGCCCTACAATTTATATTTCAACCGTTTTCATGACTCATTATCAGAAATCCGCCTGTTCATTCGTCGTCCTGACTCCTATATTTTCTAGTTTTTTCAGCCTATTTTCCCTATTGTACATACTATTCCGAATGTAATACAACCACAATATTTTCTGTACCGTGTATCTGTCTGCTCTCACAACTTTCTGTAACGATGTTATCGCCGGTCTGCTTAGATACCGTTTTTTTCCTATTAGCAAGTAAACAAACAAAGAAGAAAGTGTGTGAATATAAACTGAATGATGCTGCAATTTTCACCTTCACTTTCTCCTATGAATAGATCTCATTGTTATTAGTAATCTTTGTTGAAAATCTTACTTAAAACGTATAGTCTTTCTCAAACTATTGAATATGAAACGAGATTTAATCCTTTATTTGTCAGATTCTTGTTTATTTGTCAGAGAATCTCGAAAACG